TCCTTCCCGTGTTGTTTTGAGAGGAGATGGAACTTGGGTTGGGTTAGGATTTCAACACAGGCTTTAAATCTTACAAGGGAAATAGAGAGGTGCCTGGGATGCCAACTGGAGAAAGGTCAGTATCGTCTGTCCTTGTGGATTTTCTGCCGCACCATCAGCAGTGTATCTGTTACCTCTGCTCCATGGGTGAGACTACAAATACACTGTCAAGCTGCAGTAGGAAAGGACTTGAGAGGCAGAGAGAGCTCGGGGAAAACCAGGGACAAACCAGATTATCTGTCTCATGTCTACTGGTCAGGATATAGTTGAGGAGTTCAGCAATATGACTAAAAAGTTCTATTTTATAAAAGTTACCTACTGCAGCTTTAATGCATTAATATATGGAAGTTTACCACAATGTGTTCGTCTTCTATCCCATGGGGAATACTGTTACATATTCACTAAAAGTAGCATAGTTCACGTATACTACAACTAAAGATAGTTGGGAATGTCAGTAACGTTCTGTGGGTATCTGGAAACCCGTGTCTCCTAAGCTGTGTAAAGGCTTTTGGCTCCATGCACGATGTTGGCTCACATTTAAATTGGACCCAAATACACAGACACACTAGTGCTTTCTACTTTTTTTACTTTGAAAAGAAAATTGCAATATTGAAGCTGATTGTAGAATTGATGCAGGTGAAAAGAGCGTCTATGGACGATGGCAATAGATTGAATGTGTGAAAGATAAGCCTGTGGCAGAGCTTGAATGAATTTTGCAATTAACTCTGAGAGTACAACAAAATATGTCCAATTTCACATTTCTGCTGGCCATTTCATTTCTTCACTGTATCTACAAATCAATTATACTGACATTCAATTTGACTGAGTGCGCTGGGAAGGACTTTAATGTGGTGCCAATGCAGACACCAGTACAGAATTACAGTATATTGGTGGGGTTTTAATTAGATTTGAAAATCCTAATACTAAGAACAGTCTGTACATCTGGCTGGTGTTTACATTATCCATGTGACAAACAAGGTTAACGGTCTGTGTTTGCAGAACAACTCATCATGTCGTATAACTGTGGTTTCGTGACATACATTTCAATCCGTGCTGATCTCTGGCCGCTAAATGCAAAGGATCAATGAGAATTCTGGGAAATAAGACTCTTCTTGTTTAAAGTTGCAGGTAGGTTTTTTACTGTATCCTGGACAGCAGTACATGAGACAGATAATCTGGTGAAGCTGACTGTCGAGCCCTCATTCCCATGTGGGTTCTAATACAGACGCTTTAGGATCATGGCAATGAGACTCAACCATCAACCTTTCCAACCTTCAATCTTTTATCTCTCGCTCTAATATGGTTGTTTTTGGTTCAGGGCCTGCTGGATTCTATGTTAAAATTTTCCCCCCCCCAGTAAGGAGCACTAAGGAGGGAGCAGAGAACCATGATTGTTTCACAGATTTATTCTGGTCTCATCGTTCTACTGTAGGATATATGAAAGTTTCAGCAAATATGACTATCAAAGTTATTTTTATAAAAGTTATCTACTGCAGCTTTCAAGTTTCAGTGTTGTAGAAAACCAGGTTGAGACATGAAGTTAAAACGAGGGATGATTCCACATGGTCTCTGGTTATACCAGGAAAACATCCATTCAAATGTTTTTTAAAGTCTAAAATAGTAATTACGCGCAGGGCCGACTGCTTTCCAAGTCACTACCTCAGCTGTGCAATGCATTGAGGCGTTTAGAAAAATAAACCTGATGTTTTACACAGTCAATGATTCATAAAAGCAATTCACTGAGCAAGTCATGTCAGGTAGATAACTATAAAATTACAGACATCTTAGAGACTGTTAAAGCACAGTAAATATGAAAAATTCAACATAAAAGTTAAGATTTACAATGCAGTCATCACCTTACTGCAGTGTGCCAGAGTTCTCAAGGAATTCTAGTTTGTAACATCAAATGAACTGAAAAGGCACGTCACATTTCTCAAGCTGACATTTAAACCAGACATCCCTTAGAAAAGTATATTCAGTGAATTACATGAAACCTTACAATGTTTTACGTGGTACACAACAATGTACCGAACCACTTTTCAACATACTATTCAGTATACAGCTCCCTTGTGTGTGTGTGTGTGTTATTGACAGTGACTGTGTTTTAAGGCAACCCTGCTGTTTTTGGCAAATCTGCTCAGTGATCAGCCCGGCATCGTCCATGTTCTAGCTACAGCACGTCTGACGTAGTCTCACCCTGGTAAGAAAAGGTTGGTGGCCAAAGTTAGCACCCGGTTAAAAGAATACGGATTAAAGGTTGGCTACAAGTGTGAACGCACAATGCTAAACTGATCAGAGAGCAGATCTGACAGAAACACTTCCATGATAAAGTCTGTTACAAGAGAATTTCTATAGTTTTTATTTTGGAACCTTTGATGCTATTTTTTTGTTGTCACTGACACATCTTGGCTTTCAAGAAGTCTTTCTTTGTCCTTGACCAAGACCAATGAGAGGTTTACAGGTTTCTGCAGAAATCAGGAGCAAGGGCTGATCAGTAATGTCATCTTCGTGGTTTGCCTTCCATTTCCATCTGTGAAAGTTTCTGTGTAGAGGAGGACTGTATGCTAAGGAAGAAACAGATAAAAACAAAATGCTTTGGTCCATGCATGATCTATCTTGGCTGTTGAAGTTCATATATTCCAGAGCCACACATGATTGCTGCCCGTATCCTAGCAGTGTGGAGATCAGAGTCCTTGGCTCGCTTCTATCCGTTCTCTTTCCACAGTACTAAGTGAATGCTATGGTCCGGCATGCTGGTGGCAAACACTAGTCCAGAGTCATTGTCCCCGTCCAGGCCGTTGAGCCAGGACGTCACGCCGGCCAGGAAGCTGGATCCTCGTTTGGATTTTCTGTAGGCCGGTAGAGGCCAGCGGCCCGAGATGGCCTCTGTCCTCAGGTCCATCACGTACAGGAAGTGGTTGTCGAAAAGTAGTGCGAACACCTCGCCAAAGCTGAGCAGGGACAGGTTAGCTGGGTCCTGTGTTTTTATCACCCTGGGACCATAAAAAAATGCTGGATTAGGAGTGCTGCCAGCTGTTTGATCATACCGTCTGATTATATCCCAATATTTTTTCTTGTCTAAACCATGATTCAAAGCAAACTGTAAGGAAAATAAATAGCTAAACTTGTTATATCTGTTTTACATGTGTAGAGTTGTGTCTGATTTAACACAGCAGTCAAAATGTACATTATCAATTAAACCAGACGGTTGGAGAAGCTGTATTTGAACAAAAAAATGTATTATTTTAGGCACACCACCACCTGAACTCACATTAGAAATAGACAGATACCTGTATGGGATACATAGAATCGCAGCTATGAACGAGATAACAAGGAACTGGTGAAAACTTACTCCAGCTTCATTTAAACAGCATTTGAGAAATGGAGAAAAAATCTAAAATCAGAAATGAGTAACTGGAATAGTCTTGGGGAGTTCTGAGGAGTCTCTTTTCTTTGTGTGTATGCAGTGCGTAACAGAGTGTGAGGCACAGTTGGGCTTACAGTATGCGTGGGCATACACAATTTCTAACTTGGTGCCGAACAAACAGCATGCCTGACGGCGAGGTAAACAGTTAAAAATATTCTTAATGTACGTATCTTGAGGTTGGGCTGTTTTATGAGGCTACAATACATGTCCAGCCACAAACTGGGCGCACTGACCGCCATCTACTGCAGGAAACAGACACACTGACTATAGAAGCACTGTGTTATCTAATTACTTTCTTTGAAGAGCCTTAGCATCATGTGCACCATTTTAGCCGCCGCCCCCCCCGCCCCCCCTGAGAATCTCAAAAACTGCCAAGTCCAACTGCGTACACTCGCGAGGTCAGAGCTGCAGACGGATGTAGCGTCCTCAAACTTGAAGGCGAGGCTGGAAGCTGATGCTGGCGGTCCTCTGAAACGACAGTGTCTCAGACCACCTTGCAGTTTTTTCTCTCCCTAAAGGCACAGACCTGCAGAGGGACACAGCTCCATCTTTAGGGACCTCTCACATGCCAGAGACCACACCAGGACAAACAATTGCCAAAACAATCAGGAGGCAGACACCCTCCTCCACATTTAAGAGTAGGCTTTAAACGTTCCTCTTTGATAAACTTATAGTTAAGGACTGGATCAGGTGAGTCTTGAACCATCCCTTTAGTTTTTGCTGCTATAGGCCTAGACTATCGGGGGATTTCCCAATGTGCACTGAGCCTCCTCTCTTCCTCTCTCCTCTCTCTTTCATGCACTCCAATTCATTCCCATTAATGCATGTTACTAACTTCACCTTCTTCCCGGAGTTCTTGTGCTTTATCGTCTGCAGGTTGCTCATGATCCGGTGGAGCCTTCCTCCCATGGTCTGCTAGAACTGCCATTGCTAATATCACTGATATTGTGTTTATTATTATTAGTTGTTGTGAGTATTGTTGTGCCAGGCAGTTACTGTTGTCGCTGCTCGGCTGGTCCCCTGTCGTTGCTGTGTCATCGTCGACCGTCTTTTTCATGATCGCAATCGATCATCTACTTGTTAATGTAGTTGTTGCTTCGTTGTTGCTGTACATCTGTTGTTTCCCTCTGTTTCTCTCTCTGTTTCTCTCTCTCTCTCTCTCTCATGGCAGAGGCTGCAGGCAAACCACAAATGAAGTGCTTTCACACACAGCAGTTGGAGCAATTTGGGCTTTTGTATCTTGCTCAAGGACACTGTGACATGCAACCTTCAGATTACTGGACAACCCACTCTACCTCCTGAGCCACAGCCGCTATTTGGTGGAGTGAAAATATATTTAATAAAACTGAGTATTTCCACCTTATGCTACTTTATACTTCCACTCCACTACATTTTGGAGGCAGATATTGAACTGTTCACTCCACTTCAGTTACTTTACACATTCACATTATGAATACAAAAGTTCATAATACACATGGGAATGGGAAGTTTATATTAGGTATTATTCTGATAATTAAATGATTAGTCCCTAATAATAATAATAATAATAATAATAATAATTTTATTTGAATTCTATTTGCAATTATTTGCAAAATTATTGGTTGATGATTGGTTTTATGAAAGCCTAAGTATGTTTGTGACATTTTTAGATTTTCTTTCCTAGAAAAAATAAATGAACATTTGAAGAGTTTAAACTGTTGTTTGTTGTTGTGTAAACAATCAGTTAGATTTGGTTAGAACACAGATGGAATATTAAATCATGGTAAATAGTAAATGGACCTGTGCTTGTATACGCTTTCTAGTCTTCCGCCACATCAAAGGCACTGTTTACCATTAACGTGCCACATTCCACGCCTTTCACACCACATTCAGACAGATGCAAAGTCCCATCAAAACAGAAACTAACACATACATAGCACATTCACACGACCGATGCATCGAGAGCAAATTTGGGGTAAAGTTCTTGCTGCCAATGGATAGCTTCGACACGTGGGAGGAGGGAGCCCCCGGGGATCGAACCCAAACACCCTTACTGATTGGGAACGACCCGCTCTGGCGCCTTGAGCCCACATCCCATCTTTTGCTCCCTCATAATTTAGCCTTTCTTACCCTCAGGTGTCATTAAACTGCAGGTTATGAACTTTTTTTTATATATCTTATCAGTATCAGCCATGAGAAGCAGGTAATTATTGGTTATTGTATCGGCTGGAAAAAATTGAATATTGTGCATCCCTACATACATACATTATTTATTGTTATATATTAATTATTAAGAAAATAATGATTCCATTAATTGTAAAAATGCTGCATATGGGATCTGATAATGGGCCAGGCCAATAATTGGTGTATCCCTTCTGACACAACAAGAAGCTGCTGGAGACAGGAGCATTACCTTAATTTCATACTTATCAGCACTGAGGAGGATATGATCACCAGGACTGTGCACCATAGATTCTACTTCACTTTTCTGTAGTATCACCTGATGGTAGACAACAACAAAAGACACGTTTCAAAACACACACACTGATCATGTCAGTTTACTGGATTAACTGGTAATCAAATTACTGACATTTCAATACTGAATAATAATGTGCCAACATATTTACAGTTATGGAAATAACAATGCATCAATAACAAGGAAACCTGACTGGGCGAAGTTAGCTGACCTTGGTGACCCACTCGGTGTGTCCGGTCAGGGTGTTGAGACAGGCACCAGCAGACAGAGCCCAGACCTTCACGGAGAAGTCTGCAGAGCCGCTGACCAGCAAGTCCAGCTCATCGTTGTAGTCCACGCTGAACACTGAGCAGACACAAGTTATTCTTGTATTTTAAGCATTGGGAAGTTGCTGCTTACAAATTTAAAAAAACATCACACTTGGAAGTTGCATCACACACACACATATTTCACTTTTCAAGTTTATAAATGATACAGTCGAACTTAATGCAGCTAGAATTTATGCCAACAAAGAAGGGTTTGTTGAGTTTAGGGTCCAAGCTCCAACAGGTTCATTTCAACTGCATTTGGTTGATTTGTAGTTTTGTTAATACACTATGTATCTGTACTTTTATAGACATTTATATTTAACACTGTAACTACTAGGGCTGCAACTAACAAATATTTTCATTAGTGATTAATCTGTCAATCATTGTCTCAATGAATACATTAGTTATTTGGTCCATAAAATGTCCTCAAATGTCTTGTTTTGTCCACAACCCAATGAAATTCAATTTACTGTCATAGAGGACGAAAGAAAGCAGAACATATTCACATTGGAGAGAATCAGAGAATTTGGACAGTTTTTCTTAAAAAATACTCAAAACAATTAAATTCATTATTAAAATAGCAATTAATCTCCGAGTTGACTAATCTAGTAACCACCCTGGAATGCAAATCAATGTGCTATAATATAAATAAAGTTTTGCTTGCCTTGGCATATTACTAAATAATAATATTAAGTAATCCAGCAACACCAACCTGCTCCTGTGTGGCCACGGAACTGCTGGATTTTAGCCCCCGAGCTCCACTCCCAGCATGCAATAGTGTTGTCGAAGGAACCAGTCACCAGCTTCTGTTCGTCAAACTTCACTGTGGCGCACGTGTGTGTCTGAATTCCATAAATGCACTGCCCAGTTCGCACATCCCATAATTTGGCAGACAGGTCATCAGATCCTGCAGAACAAGAGGATATCCATGTTAACGCTGCAAGCTCTGACACCGCTCCACAATACCCCACCCAGATGTGGGTCAAACACTTGTTTTAAACCCTGTGGTAAAGGAAGGACTGTAGGCATGTTTCTGGATAGTAGTGTTTCACATATGTGGATTGAGAGAAAATAACTTTAAGAGACAGCTGGTCTGGACTCACAAGATCACATGAGAATCCATCTGGCCCAAGTTCAAGCTATGCGTTTTTGGCCAAACTACAGGGGTAAAGGGCATCTATACTGGAATTGATATTGCCCCAATAAGTCCATTAAG